TTCAGTAGGTATACAATACACATGTATATTGTATAATATAGTATATACCTACTGGCTACTTGTATCATTTAAATATTTAAAATTTTGAATACCATTTTCAATGTATAATACCAAAGGTTAGGTATACATATAAGTAGGTTCCATACAATTATAAAGATAATTTATGACAATTCTATATAGATATAAAAAAAAAAACAAAACAAAATGTATTAAAATAAAGAAAGTTATCACACATTTGAAATATTTCATTTTAGATTCTGAGCGGAGCGAGGAAGCTAGTTTTTTTACAATGGTGTTTATTTTTTATATCCTGTATACAACATTTCTACCAGAAGGAGTGCTTTGATTTCAACATATAGTACCTTATATTTTAGAAAATTGGATCAAGATGGTACTTTAGAGAGGTAATCTTTCATACATTTTCTTTGGTCCGCTCAGAATCGTTTTGTATCGAATGCAATCTTTGCATTCAAATTGAATACTGACCTACTTCTTTTAGGTATAATAATAACCAACAAATCATTAAAAGCCTTGCTGAATGATTTAAAATGCAAATATAATATTCCACTGTATATTAATTATTTATAATAATAGTTTGGCACCTATTTGCATTAAAAATTATAATGCAACTGTTAGCGGTTAATTATTCACTAGATATAAAAAAATATTGTTTTATATATTATAGATTTCAAATTTGTCATAATAATTATAAGTGTGAAATATTAAACCTTTAGGTTTGCACGTAATTCAATCTTAAACATCGAAAATCATGAAAAATAATTAAGGTGTTTTGAATGATTATAAATATGACCTATACACTGAATATTTTAATATTAATAATAATAGTAATTTATTGTTAGAACATAGATATTTGATAGGTACATTCAAGAATTAAATAGTTCCAGCATTTTGTAACCAGGACATTTTGCATTAATTATGCTACTAGTATCCAGATGGTAGGTTCAGTTCCAAACATACTATAAGACAGTGGTTCAAAAATTGTGGTTCAAGATTATATTTTTGCTGGGTCGCTCTATATTTTTAAATAATATATACTGTTGTATTAATCGTTTAATATAATGATATAGTAATAAGAAATGTTAGTACAAGAAAAATTAGATTAAGAAAATAATTAGATATAGATGACAATAGTAGAATCATAACAATTCAAATATTTTACAAATATTAAACATATTACATGTAACTAGAGGTTAAGACAACAATAATGTAATGCAATAACAATTAGGTATAATCATAGGACAATCGTATTATTCGATAGTATCTCGATAATAAACAAAAAAAAAGTGGTTTAGATAAATTTATATTTATAGGTTTATTATTAATAAGGTAGCCGGTTAAGTTGAATTATTATTATTATTTGTTTATTATCATATTTATAATAATATAATATAGTACATAATAATGTAGTTACTTAAGGAGTACCAATGTACCAACGAATAATATTTTTTAAATATAAAACAAAAGTAAAATTGTTTTTCTTCATTTAAATACCTAATTTCGTCCAAATTTAACATAAAATAATTATAAAAAAAATGAGCTTAATATTTTTAGATTTTTTGGTTAACGAATAACCTACTTACATAGAGAAAAGAGTTTGATAATGTTTTTACGTACTTTATCAAGATTTTAACTTTAAATGCGTATGAAAAATAATTTTGACTACGGACTTTTAATGTTTTTCAAATGTCATTGTAAAAATATAATACGAGCCTTGTATTGCATTTTCAAGCTTATTTAACAAACAAATAATATTTTATTGACATTCATAGACATATAATTGTGATTATAGATTTTTACTATACCTAACCGGTATGTGACTTTCAAATACTGAATATTTACCACACAACCTCACAGTCAACCACTATGGCACTATGCTATGAGAATCTGAGTGAACGATTTCCATACTCTACCAACAATTGAAATGACGCCACTGCTAATAGCATTATTACATTATATATTACTTAATCAACTGTGATATAAATTGCACGTGATAACGTTTGTACCAATAATGCACGTGAATTTGTGATATATATATTGTGTGTATCCGCATTTTCTATAATGTTATGTCGGCTTCAGATATGTATAGTGTAGGTCTATTCATTGTATAATATGCTCAAAGGATGTTTCAATATAATAATATAGTTTTCAGACCATTGATTTTGTAAGCTCATAACGGTCGCTGATGGCCAAGATAAACTGGAGGAACAATTATAATAGGTACTGTGACAAGTATACGTACTTTTTAGGTGGCATGATGATGAATGGCAATTTGTAGCGTCGGCGAAATAGATTATTTTACACAATGGAAGAAACGAAAGACACCAGCAACACACAGGAACGACGTTCGACGTGTGAACTCGGAATGATCGGTGGATATTGTGCGCCAGCGTTGTCGGCGGTGGTAGAGTGCGTTTCTGTTCGTTTCACGTCAGTATATGCGTCGGTTATCGATTCCCGCCGCAACGTAGTTCCGTCGACCGTGGAAATGAAAATATATAATATCTCTCTAAACTTAAACTGGAAGGGGCCTCGACATTCGCTACCTATATAATGGCTCTGAAACAAAACATAATAATACAAATCAACAAACGTGTACGATTATCCAATTGCAACCAAAATATAATACACAATTATTATTATTATATTTTTTTTTTTTGTCCATGTCGCCAGGTGTGCACATAAGAGGCCATTGCTCCGGAACCACTAATTGCACAGCGTACAAACTTCACAGAAACTGTCTACATATCAATCTTAATATGCCTAAATTTTTTATAGAAATCGGTTTGGTGAATCGTGAGTTATGAAATGAATTCAAAATGTACACTTATTTATATATATATATATATAGATTATATCATTTTATTATTCTATATATATATATATAAATAAAACCGTGCTCTGCTGTACAGTAGGTTACAAGTGGGTCACTGTATAATAGATAGTATTAAATTTGAATTCAATGATATAATATCATTGTATAAGAAAAACGATTCTGAGCGGAGATGGTTTATCCTTCTAGGTATAAGACATATTATAAACTTACCTATGGTATTAAAAAAATTGACCTGTAATGAATTCCAAATTAATCATATCACAATATCCATTAGGTACTTATAACGCGTTATACACCAACAACAAACCCTGATACTATCATAGATATATAGTAGTATACTTTAGAAGTTTCAAGTACCCACGAATAATATTATAAGCACAATCACAACAAAATAACTAAAATAGTTATTCTAGGTTTTTTATTATGTAATTTCGTTCAAATTTGAATTTAAAATGTCTGTAAAAAATAATATATAATAATAAATATATATTTATTTTTTAGTTTTTTTGGTTCAGTATGAACTATTTATGAGAACCTTTGTTTTAAATTTGCAATCCTTAGCTATAAAAACTGAACATTTTATAATTTATTAATTACAATGATTGATAATATTTGAGATTTTAATAAATTTTGTCAAAATTCGATCTTTAAATGCTTATAAAAAAAAATTATGCGTATGTATTTATAATATTTTTCAATTGCTATTGTAACAATACATCAGGAGCCTTGTATTAAATTTTTACACTTTTTGGCCCAACAGATAAAACTTTATTGATATTTATAGAAAAAAAAACTAAAAAAAATTGAAAGTTGTAAATATCCGTAAACAGCTCAAAAAGAGTCAAAATATTTTCAAAATTGTATGGTGTATAGAAAATACTAATATAAACATTGAGTGAAATTTTCATGTATATACGTTCATTTGTTTTAGAGTTACACCAAAATCCAAAATCGATTTTTTGGAAAACCGATTTTGCGTAAAAATTCCCATTTTTCCTAAATTTTTAAGTTGTTTTTCCCGGTGCTTGTGAAAACTACTGTGAATTTTTACTTTTGACCCCCCAATTTACCAACTAGATTCACTCTCCTATCAGAAAAGTTACTGTTGAAGAAAATCCAAGCACTTTTACTGTCCTAAAAAGTGATGATAGACCCAAAAATAAAAATTAAAAATTAAAAATTAAAAAAAAACACACATCATTGTAATATCAATACAATATCATCGTTCAACTCAGAATCTTAAATGAATGTCTCTTTTTTCCGCACTCGTAATTTTTAAATCTACTAGTCCGATTCACTTATAATTCTATATAGATATTCAGCCAGATCTGGGGAAGTTCAGTACCTATACGACAATCACAAAATATACCCCACGATGTATAAATAGATAATAGATATAAATATCTTTATAAATAAAAATGAAAGTATCTTTTTTCCGCACTCGTAATCTTGAAAACTACCAGTAAAATTTACTTGCAATTCAAAATAGATACACAGGCGTATCTGCAGAAAAGCATTAAAATGTCAGGGGATTGACATTATTAACATTAAAGTGAGGGGGGCTTCGATCCTACAAAAGTAAAAAAGGAGCGGGCTCCTTCACACTGATAACACTGATATAGGTATGCAAACTGATAAAATGATATATTGTTAACCACTCTGATCACCATTCTGATCTCCTCTCTTCCTTGATCAGAAACGGTTCCGCATAGTTCACCCCCACGTGACTCAACCACTCTGTATTCATGCACGATCAATGAACCGGTGGATATATGAGATGACACGCTGAAGTCGTGTCAAAGAGGAAAAACGGTGGAACCACTCAGAGGCATCTACCTTGGCGGTGAGTGTCATTGCACTTAACTTGTGACTTGCCTGTTCTGGTACTTAATGAGGTGCCAAGGGTTGAAAAGTTGGTTGGTTGGTTATGCAACCATGTATTGTTTAAAAAGCTTCATGTGGTCCGATATTGGAATAATTATTAAACATATTTAATAAAAAAAACAATAATATCTGTTTTAAAGTGTGGCACTCCTGATACTAACTATATTAACTTGTATTAATATTTAAACTGCATATATTAGACTCTAACACTGGTATATAAACAGTAAAATATTTACATTAAAAAGATATAAATCATTTTGACATGGATTCTCCCACGAAAAAAATTTCTTTCGGAAAAATCTCGACCCCTTTTGACGAAGATTTGGAAGATAGAATTGTCGAACTATCTTTTGATGATAATACTTTAAATATGGAAACCGATACAACAAATGTCGACTTAAAAACTGTTGTTGATGACATGGATTCCGAGAGCGATGGTGAAGTGAACATATTTATAGGCAAACACGACATAAATGAAGAACCGTACATTGATACATTGATTGAAGAAGATTCATTGTTAAATGACGAAATTAAAACTTTATTTAACGATAGTTGCTCAGTTTCAGTATCATTGACTCAGTCTGGACTTGCCTGCGTAGGTCTGGAGGGGCTATATTAGACAGGACCGGCAACCAATCTAGTTGGGTTGATCTCACGGTGCCTGTTATGATTCTCATAGTGTTATTCAACTATACGTCGACCTTCTTGCAATGCGCGCTTCTGGCCCACACAGGGGCACAGTAGTCTGCCACGCTGTACACTAGGGCTAGAGCAGAAGTGCGGAGCACGTTTGCGTGGCAGCCCCAGCTTGTGCCTGTTAGCTTGGCAATAATGTTATTACGTGTTTTTATTTTATCTTTCACGCTTTCAAGGTGCTGTCTGAAGGTTAAAGTTCTGTCCATTCTTACCCCTAGATATTTTGGTGCTTCTTCAGTGGTGATTTTTTGGTCTTCGATTACTATGTTTAGTGTTCTACTGGTTTCTCGGTTGTTTAAGTGGAAAGCGCATGTTACTGATTTATTTGGGTTCAATTTGAGGTGCCATTTCTGGAAGTACTTTTTTACTTTTGCCACGTCTGCGTTCAATACACTTTCGATTTCTTCAAAGGATGTGGCTTGTGTAACTAGTGCTACATCATCCGCGTATATAAATTTCCTCAACACTGTGTCAATCATGTCTGCTGTGTATATGTTAAAAAGCATTGGGAAGAGAACGGCTCCTTGTGGAAGGCCATTTTGTAGAATTTTGTATCGGCTCGTTTTCCCTCCATGTGTTACTCTGAATTTTCGATTTGATATCATTTTCTCTAGGAGTAGTATAGTGGCTTTACATCTTATGGTCTTTGCTATTTTAAGAAGGAGACCTCTAGTCCAGACTGTATCATAGGCTGACGATAGGTCAAGAAAAAGTGCGCCCGATTTTGCTTTTTGCTGGAAGCCGTTTTCCACCTGCGTAGTAATCGCCAGTACTTGGTCGCAGCAGTTTCTATTTTGTCTGAACCCAGCTTGTTCCCACGGTAAGGACTTCTCTACTATTGGTTGCAAACGAGCCAGAAGTAGTCTTTCAAAGAGTTTATACATTGTAGACAATAAGGATATTGGTATGTAATTGTTGGGATCAGAAGCGTCTTTGTTTGGTTTCAGTATTGCAATTACTTTAGACTCAAGCCAGAGTTTCGGTATCTTACCATAATTCCCAATCTCGGTGGCGAGTTTTGCAATCCAGTTGATGCATTTGGGACCAACGTTTTTGAGAAACTCTGGGAGGATTCCATCCACCCATGCTGCTTTTCCATTTTTAACTAATTTTAAGGCGGTTTGTAACTCGTCCGGAGTAAAATCTGATGCCAGCTCTGATCTATTTTCGCACTCCTCGAGTGCCTCCTTGAATTTCCTCTTTACTTCGGATTTTTCATGTTTATTTGGCTTAATATTGGACGTCTTGTAGATGATGCTTGAAATGGCATTTGCTGTGACATTGCCGTTTTTCCTTGAGGGTTGGGCGGCCCCCAGTTTCCTCAGGAGTTCCAAGCTCTTTCTAGTTGAGTGGGTGAAATCCATATTATCCATTGCCGTAATCCATCTGTTCCTTCTTTCGTTGTCTAAAGACTTAATTAGCTGGTTTGCGATGGTCTCATCTCCTGTATGTTCATATTCCTTCAGTAAAGAATCGCACTCCCTGTTCCAGCAAGGAATATAATTTTGCCTGTGGCCTCTTGGAATGGCGGTGCTCGCTGCTTTTTAACTAGCTTGACAAACCTAGGGTAATTCTCCGGCAAAGGAGGTTTGCGGTTGATGTTCTTCTCCATATAGCTTGTGTAGTCTTCCCACTTTGCCTTGCGTAGGTTCCACCTTGGCATTAATGGTTTCTCTATTCTTGGTAGGTGTAAACCTATGTCTATTGCTACTGGTTTTTGCTGTGTTCTGGGGAAGTTATGTAAAATAGTGCGGGAAGCTCTTATGGGTGGATCATGGAAGTCTGTTGTTACAAAACAAAGGTCAGGAGTTGTTGCTGTGCCCCATCTGCCAGAAACGAAGGTGCCGCCTTGTTTGACGTCGTATAATAGGTGCAGGCGGTTGAGTGTTGCCCAACTACATAGTCGTTCTCCATCTTCATTTTCAGTTGTGTAGCCCCAGTTGGTGCTATGAGAGTTGAAATCTCCGACGTATACTGTAGGAAATTGAGGTGTTGGAAGCATGTAGTGGGACCAGTTGGTTGAAGGAGGCTTATATACATTGTAGATGATGAGGTTATCCAAACGAATACCAACTGTATGTTCGTTACCAGTAACTGGATTGACAAGGCGGTCCTCCACCTTATGGTTAACATAGGTGGCCAGGCCATGCTTTGGATGCCCAATGTAGTCAATCAACCTGAATCCAGGGATCCTCAGACGCCTTGTTTCTCCGTCTGGGATGTGAGTCTCTTGTAGGGCTAGCACGTCGGCGTTGCTAAAGTTTTTACCGAGTATTTCTGCTTTAGAGCTTGTTAAACCTTCTATGTTAAGGTGTATGATTCTTATGTTTTTCTGTGAGGCATTAAATAATGACGAAAAAGTGAATAGCTACGACACAGAACAATCGACCGACGAAAAAAAATGGTTGCACACATTGAGAAGTCCTTGGTGTGAAAACATAATCCTTGATAAATGCTTACCGGTTAAAGAATTATGTAAAAATATAAAAAAAGAATTTCAAACTTCTGATATAATAATATATGACACATCTCGAGATAAAACAAAATTTTTGGAATTATCGCAATGTTCTAATAGAAAAATAGTATCCTTCAAATATTTAAACAGTGAAGCAGGACATCTTGATTTATATATGGACGTTGTACGTAAATTGTGTATATCCGATGACGTTAACAATGTTTGGATACCGGTTATTTTATTATTAGATGGTATATCGGAAGACGCTATAGGTTCCAAAGAATTATACGAACATGTCATAATATTAAAACAACATAACTGTAGTATAAATCAATTGTCAAAATGTATGGCGTACATTATAGAAACATATCAAAAATTTCAATTACCTAATTTATATACATTAGAATCTGTTGATAAAAACGATTTCGTTTATTACGATATATATGATTTTACTGGAGCTCCTAAATTGGAGGAAGATGCTCGATTAACACATGAAACACTTCAAAAAATATTATGGATTTTGAAAATAATGATCAGAGTGAGGAAAAAAATATTGAAATAAATAAATCTAATAACCATAATATGGGTTGATGATCAAGATAATATAGCTTTTAGCAACGACACTGTCGTCGCGACAGCAGCTGCCACTGCAAATGAGTTTGAATCGTATAACCCCCTTGACGTATAAGAGAACTCGAACCGCCTACTAGTGAAAATATTACGTAATTGTGTGTTGGACAAATTGCGACTGAGAAATTGAACGATATTTGTAATAAAATATGATGCATGTTTGTTTTTAGTTCAGTATAGTTTTGTCGTCTTATCAATATAATAATAATCAATATTACAATATTTTGTTGATAAGATATTATCAATTATTTACAATGCCATCAAGGTTTATAGATTATACAGGTTGCCTCACTTCTGAATTTACGAAAAAATGAGAGTGGGGGGAATAACGCTCATGACGTCACTGCCGGAACACGAACACCGGCACACACCGCAAAACACATGGTTTATGCGTTAACGTTATGCTTAATTTGAACTTTCTATAATTTAGACGTAATTGGCGATTAATTAATAATTATATTAATTTTATAATTTAAAGTAGTATAATTACAATAATCATGAGTTCCAGAAGTGGTGGTTCTAATTGTGCTATTGCGACGTGTGATTTGTATTCTGGCAAATCAAAAAAAATTGGAATGACTGATATTTCGTTTCACAGGTATTTATTAAGTTTTATTTTATCAATAATGCTTAAACTACATAATAATGGTATTATTACGTTATTAACGTTTTATATTTTGTAATTAATTAAAATTACTTATTTTTATAATTCACAAGACCTACTCAGGTAGCCAGTTGGTACACACAACTATTTAGGCTTTTTTATGATAGAATGATATGCATACCATTATATTCCGATGATATCAATTATCACATTAATTTGTTTTGTATTATTTTTTTAATTAATTAGACTGTAATTTTTAGATTTCCAAAAGATCCTGATGTCCAGAAAATATGGACTCTGAAGTGTAAACGAGGAGACTCCTGGAATCCCAGTAAATCTTACATTTGTTCCAAACATTTTAAATCAGAAGACTTTGTTCGTGATTTAAAATCTGAACTTATGGGAAACAAAACTGTCAGAAGATTGAAACTTGGTTCTATACCAACACTGAACCTTCCCACCTGTTTATCTACTGAAACATAGTGTGCTTTAAAACGCAGAAGTAGAATCGAAGCAAAATCAATAAAAGTGGTATTTATATTATACAGTCATTGAATTTAATAATAATTTGCCAGTTTTGTATTTATGAATAATATAAAAAATATTTTTTATTTCATCAAGTTAAAAATGTATATACCTAGGTAGGAAATTAATTATTAAATCTTTTTATTTCAGTCTCATGATCAGTTAATTGCCACTACTCTTGACACAGAGCAAATGGTATCTGCTGTAATATTTGATGAAGCTAACAATTTCGCTAACAATAGCCAACATTTTAATCCAAATTATGAAGTAATGTACAATGAGTTATTCAAAGAACATCAACATTTAAAAAATGAGAATGAAAAATTGAAAATAGAACTTTTATCATTCAAAAAATCTTCTTTGAATTATAAAAATATTAATGAAAATCTTAGACATGGCATAAAAATTCTTGAAAAACGTTTGAAAACTTTAAATTCGGTTCTAACACAAACACAAAAAAATATGTCAAATCAAATTAAATCTCTCACTCAAAATAAAACTCTTGCTATTGAAAAGAAAGCAAAATCATATCTGTCAGAAATTTTTACTCCAAATCAATTGGATCTTATAATGAAAAAAAAAAATTATATTATGAATTATATTATATTGTAATATTTGTATTTATATGAAAGAATATTAAAAATGTATGTACACAACTTGCAGATTGGTTTCTTGGTTGTCATCTTTATTTACTTATTGATAGTTTTCTAATTGTACCTGCACAACATTTTTATTTATTGGTCAATTACAATTGGTATTATGCAAGATAAGTGTAAAATATTTTTTAGAAAGTTGATTTTTCTATCTTCAAATTAATATTTGTTGAAAGAAAAAATAGATCAATTGTTTTTATCAAATTTTAGTTTTGTTAAATTTTATTTATCATGTAAAAATACAAAATAGGTACCTACGACATATTATGTTTGAACTTTTTGTAGTTTTACTAACTTCTGTAAGTATTTTTACCATATTATTTTACTACCAAATGATATACCTATTGCATGCTGAACATAGCTGTTAGTTAAATAGTAGGAGCTATTTGTGATATACAGTGTACTCTCAATAGGTAACTTGAACCTTGATAACTAGAAATTCTCGAGATCTCGAACAAATAAAATTCCCCTTCAAGTAACATAATAACACATTAAGGTTTTGAAAACTCGAAATTTTTAATAATTCGGACTTTTTTCCCCCAGTGGGCCGTGAGCTTCGAGTTACTGATTTTACACTGTATTAAAAATAAATATATTATATTCGATAATTATTATTTATTATATAATTAAACAGCTGGTAAATCAAATGAATAATTCCTTAATAATTAAGTTATCAAAATCAAAAGAAAGTATGTAAAAAATGATTTTATTAATTATTATACTGTTGAAAATAAGTAAATGATACATTGTACCGCACTACGGCAGTCGATTGTTCCGGCAATGACGTCAGTAGACGAGGAACGGTACGGGGGGAAACGTTTTGTTTACATGACTATGAGGCAACCTGTATAATCTATAAACCTTGCAATGCCATTAAGTTTCTGCGAAGAGACCTGTGTTACATGAAGTGATTAAGAAATACGATACAGTGAATAGTTCGGCTATATGGTGTTATTTTTATAAAACGTTTCATCGATATAATTTTACATTTGTAAATATATTTAAACAAATTTTTTATTCGGTTAGAAAAATTTGATGTGTTATTGAGTTTTTTATATGATAACATGTTAAAAATTTATTTAACTATATACAGTTCTGTGGTATGAAATTGTTAATTGATAAATATTTAGCACTTGACGAACCTCTCGAGTTTTATCATTTACGGATAGCTTTGAATGTAACGTTAATCAAAGAAAACAAAATAAATATTCACGAATTTTTAATGTTTTATAATTGTGTATATTTGGGTCGTATTTGTTATAAATTCCATATAGATATTCAGCCAGATCTGAGGAAGGTCCCTAAGTACCTATATGACAATCACAAAATATACCTCACTAGATATAAATATATAATAGATATAAATATCTATATAAATAAAAATGAATGTATCTTTTTCCGCATTCGTAATCTTGAAAACTACCAGTAAAATTTACTTGTAATTCAAAATAGATACACAGCCGTATCTGCGGAAAAGCATTAAAATGTCAGGTTAGGTTAATAAATTAAAAATAAATAAGAATACATTATTATTTTAATATAAATTATAATATAATAATAATATATTGTCAATATATTATACATAGTGTTGCCTACTCGTCAAGGTATATTATACTAAATAAACCAATAAAATTGGTGTTTTAAAAAATAAGTGGGACTAAAATTCGAACGCTGGCTGATAAAAACGACTGACCTACTCTCTGGCTATTAATAAACGACGTTGTATAGTATACCCGCTTGGTGACGGTATAAAACGGGCTTAAATGTTTTTATAATTTGAATTAATTTGTGAATCGAGTCCCGTACTTCGAAATACTGTGGTACTTACTATGAGAAAATATATCTCCACAGCAGTTATTACAGAGTTATTTATAAATTAAGATATCAATAAATTGTTAACCGCCGTCATGGACAAACATCTTGATATAGAAGACCAATATCCTACGACTATGGAGAACGAAGAAGATAAATTCATCAATGACACAGTGGAGGACTTATTGGTCAAAATAGTTGACGTGGTATGTGGGGATGATTTTCCGATTGCCGAAACCGTATTTCATTCCTCAGAGACATTCAATAAAACTAAACAGAATGCAAGGTCTATCAAAGACCCGGCTCCGGCCACAGTGGAACATAACCGTGGAGCAACCCCAGTAATTTGCTTCATTCCTCGAGGACTCATCGCCACCTCGTATAGTAGAGTAAAACGATGGACTTGCCAACTACTATGTGGTTGCTGCCACGTTGGGGAAGGGGTAGTTCATGAATAAAATAGCCATGGGAATACGCCCGCAGTTCTCTACTCCGTCGCCTCCAAAGAAGAACATTCAGTCAAGACGGTGAGTGGCTATAGGGGATTGGTAAGTGAAAGATCACTCTACGGTATCCAGCGTTGAGCCACCCAAGTACGTGCTCCGCCCATCCTCGGCGTGAAGGGATCGCTGTTGCTGGCGTCGAGTGCTCTTGAGACCATCTGACAGCTCGGAGAGGGCCTGGCTATTCTGGTCGTCTTAGGTGCGACGGACGACACAGCAGCTAGGAGTACTAGTGCGTGCAATGGCTCCCTCCCAACAGTACCACAAGTTGACTGCTTGTCCACGTAAACCAAGGCGACTCACAACTTATTGAACTATAGCTTTTTCCAATTATGTATATTATCTTTCTTTTGAAATTAGCTACATTACCAGTTTTTACATCAACATCAGAAAGCATATTTTCTGCAATAAATAAATTAAAATCTATTTACTAAACCCATCAGACCAAATACGCGTTTTACAGTTACTAGAGTATAGACGAATTAAAATCAATCCAGAAGATGTTATCGATCCTTCCACAAAAGAAAACTATACTTGTTTATCAAAATATTTACTTTAAAATGTTATAAATTAAACACACATGACACATGAAATACATAAAAAAACCTTATTTATATGTTTTATTATAATGTATACATTTTTAGATTTTGGTTATAGGAAATGATTATAAATAATGTATTATATTTACAAAGTTTCTTTGAATTATTTTTTTTGTCTATTGACAACATTTGGGGTAATGAAAAGTTTTTGATTTCCAACATCAGCTTCTTTTCTGATAGAAAAGTTATTCTAGTTGGTGCATTTGAGAGAACAAAATTTAAAATTCCCAGTAGTTTTTGTAACCTCTAAATATAAAAAAAAAAATGGAGAAAAATGGGAATTTTTAACTTTCAAATCAACTGTCAATAAGAAACATCAGTGATGTTGGTCATTCTGGTAATTTCAAATCTGTTGAAGTAGAAAGTTTTTGCTAAGTCACGATTGTTATCAACGGCTACCATTACCAGTAGGTTCGCAGTAGGTGAGTTGATTCATAAGACCTACTTTATATATTATTTATTTATTTATTTATAATATATAAACGCCAAACGGAAATTTTAAATTAACACATTAAGTTTAAAATTAATAGATATAACAATAATATAATACAAATTCACACAAAACTAGAACATATGGAAAAACACAACATAATATAAACTAAATGGTAATACCTTAATTTAGTAATGTATAACTATGATAGAACATATTTATAAATGATATTATTTAATTACTTATTAAAATCAAAATTTAAGTTGGCACAACTACAAGATTCACTAGCTTCCCCTGCTCCTTTTCATTCGGCACCTGTAGTATACCAGTATTGAGTTAACACTGGCTGCCAGTACTAGTTTTGCAGTATTAGTGAAATACTGGGTACAATTTTGGCCAGTACTGTCCCCGTAAATGCCACCCGCCTGTTGTTAGCTAATACAGGGTAGCATTACATAGCAATTTGTGAGTGTTGAAGTAAGGCATTTCCAATTGGGTGCATTACCTACAGTAACTTGAAACCCGCATCAGTTCGTCGTCTGAACCAGTTAAAGTAAGTAAAATATTCACTCAAGTATTTTAATAATTTTAATCCCGCATTGATATTATGTTAACTGGATTATATAATAATTTTTTACAAAATATGCTATAAATGTAACATGTTTTGTTTTTGAACAATTTGTTTTGGAAATTTTTTTAAACGTATATTTTATGAGTTTTTACTAAACGAAAGTGCTGCACACAACTCTACAAGATTAGTTATTTGTAAACGAGTTGAGCTTACATCATATTCATATTTTGTGAAACAATTTAGTAGATACTTCAATATTTAATAAATTTAATATTTACTGAAAAATAAGTTGATGATAGATCCTATACTAAGATTAATACCACTAGATTTGTAATTTAAACTTCTAAATAAAATTGAAAAAAATGTTAAATATATTATGGACATTTTATACTATTATAGTTTGATATTCTAATTTGTAGTTGTGTATATTGTAATTTAATGAAAATAATCAGAAATTATCATTCAACAAAATATTAAAAGGATGTCAGCCCACTGTTTGTTTTCTCTCTCTCTCCCACGCGATCACTATCATTGCTCAACATAAAATGTATATCCTATAATTTATATGCCAGCCTGTTTACCTACTCTTAATTCTTTTTTGCGAAGTCCTTAAATCGACAGTTATACTTTTGTTGGCATAAATTTTGAACTATGATCAGAGAAATCTATATATATAAAGGAAAGTGTACTTTACCAAGAATCAACGCCCAGACCAAACCGCTGGGTCTAGATACTTGAAATTTTATATAGAGGTTCCTTAAGCAATATAGGGACTCGCTAAGAAAGGATTTTCGAAAATTCCACCTACAAGGGGGTAAAAGTGGGGTTGAAAAAATACGACAGTGGCGCCATCTATCAATATTTAATTAAAATATACAATATTGGTATTAAAATGAGTGAAACAAAAAAATAATAGTATGTGTGTTACCAGTACGCGCGCGGGAAGTTAAACTTCTTTTGAATGGTACACGTGAGTCAGTGAAAAAGAAAGAAAAAATTATTAATTAATTTAAAAAATGAGAAGAAGTATCCGGAATTATTTATTATTGATAGTTTTATTATTTTTTTTATATTTTTATTCGACAGATCGATGGATAATTATTTGTAGTATTGTTTTTATCTAGACAATAGATTTGTGAGTGAATAATAATAATAATAATAAAAATAAATAATAATCGATCATTAATTATTCATATTAATTAGTATGGCCCGATTATAATATATAATATATATATATTATAATATATAATAAAACAACACTACCATGACAATATTTATTTATTTACGGACATGTACGCTTTCGCGTTCGTACGGCCGCCAGTTCGTACGCGCCGCCCGTTCGCTTTTTTTTCCCCACTACCCTGCGTAAAGAAGTATAACTTCAATAAAAATAAAAATAATTTATATTGATATAATAATAACAATTTAGACATCTCTATGGCAATTAATACATCAGCTCGATGTACTGGCCAATACAGTATAATCTATGGTTAATCGGACATGTTTTTTGATTTATATTACCCGGAACACGTTGGATAATTATTTAAAATATTATATTTATTCAATTTAATTGATGGAATATTTTTTTTAAAAATGTTATCGATTGAAGATATTTTTGTCAATGGAATGTTGACACCTCAAATAGTTGTACCAATTATCGGTGATGGTGCCTGCCTTTTAAGTTCAATATCAATATATCATTTCATTTGTTTAACACTCAAGAAATATGTCAGGAGATCCGAAATACAATTGTTCCTTATGTGTCTGATAATTGGAATAACTTTATTACTATGTCTTACAATTCAAATGGTGACAACTTTTCCACTGCTGAGGCTTATGTTCGTGAAATGATCAATCCTACTGCCTACGGTAGTTATTGCGAATTTATTATAATAATAATCTTTATGCCAAATTTGATGTAGATACATTCCCAGTAAAAAGATTGCGTCTAACTGGAAATATTAATAGTGGTAATTTTGATGTTTATTTATCTATTCCTAATATTCATAATGTTGCAGTAAATTTAATTACTACTTCAGAGGGCGAAAAAGTAAAAAGTAAAAAGCGTCGCCGTGCTAGATATACGGATAAGACTCGAATCAACAAAGTTAAGAAAGCTAAAACAAAGTACAAAGCAAACAAACACCAAGAAACTTTAGTGTTTCCGCCTCAAATTAATTTAATCAATTGGAAAATTAATAAATTATCTGGCCTAGCATATAATCCCCCAATTGATTATAAAAATAACATTGGCACTATGAACCAAAAATGTAATTTTTGTAACGCTCTCAAGTGGAAAAGCGAAGCTCCTGGTGTTGCCACCGCAACATAAAAGCATTACGCAACATAGTACCTACCCAATTAAAAATAAGAATATAGGACATCGGTCACCGGGGAACAGCTGGACACATACACACTCACATATCACTATTTGTATTGTTTTATTAATATTATTATTGTGTATTATACAGCAACTCAGCTATCAGAAACCGTGTTACCATTTTTTATTACCTATTTGTTTAATTGTATACACACCTACACACATACACGTATTTATACACAATTACACATAATTACACAACACGCACTACATAGCCGACAGTAATTGCTAGGCGATCCCGACCACTACTGTTCGAGCTATTACACCATTACACATCCAGCTTGTTCTCCATAATTCCAGGAATTAGGTGTTAGTGGTGTAAGGTGATTTATTGGTGTCCGGGCGCGCGTATTATTATTTTATGCTCTCGGCCCGCACATTTTGGTGACCTCGACGTGATTTTTTCTATTTATATTGTTGTGTTTTATTGTTTGTGAATTTGACAGCTGAGATAGGTTTTGTTTGTAATTAATTTGTCTATTAGTCAGATTGAAATCACATTAGTCTCAATTATTAAATATAAACATCGTTGAAGTTAATTATTTATCGCAATCATGGGGTTAGATGATGTTATGTTAGGCCAGGTGAAGGACCAAAGAAAAAAACGTGGTATCATTAAAGCGGCTCTAACACGAATGAAAAACTTTGTTGAGAGATTCGACCCAACAATTGATACGATATCACTGTTAGGATTCCGCCAAGAAGAGCTGCCGCGTCTAAACCAAAAATTTGACGACATACAAACTCAACTTGAATTCATTTTTGTCGATGATTTGGACAAGGAAGAAGAAGAACGGGATAAGTTTGAATCTGACTATTTCAATGTTCGTTCGAATATTCAAGAAATAGTAAATGCCAAGAAGAGTGTCAACAGCAGTTGCCACAACTCAACCTTTAATATGTCGGCAGGTCACTTACCCACCATTACGTTACCAGCATTTGACGGCGATATCCAGGATTGGGAGTCCTTTTTCG